GACACAGCTGAGCCGGGGTGCTTACTGCTACTACTACTACTACTACTACTACTACTACTACTCCTACTACTACCAATACTACCACTACGACTACTACTTACTACTACTACGACTACGACTACGACTACGACTACTACTACTACTACTACTACTACGACGACGACGACTGCGACTGTGATTGCGACTATGACTATGACTACGACTCCTACGCCTCCTGCTACTCGTCCTACTCCTACTCCTTCTCGTAGTACTCCTGCTCCTACAATTCCACATCCTCTCCTCGTGAGAGTGCGACTGCATCTGCGGCTGCGGCTGTGCTACTGCTTGACCTTCTCCCTCTGATACGGCCACCACACTGCCCCGACTTTTCGACAACACCACCACAACCACCACTACGACGGCCGATACCACTGCCACTACTACGACGACGGCTACTACCATCGAGGCTGCGCCAAGCACCACTGCGACTGCGACGACGATGACGACTGCGCACTACTTCTGCTGCTGCCACCTCCAGCATGCTGCTGCTTCCGCTGCTCCTACGACTACAATGCCGACTACTGCTACCCGACGCGGCGGATTTGTCCATGCTTGCGACATACTACATGCCAGGCCCGCATTAGGACGCGTGGAAGAACCGCGGAGGAAGGGCTGCTTGCAGTTAGAGTACGCTCGGCATTGCAAGGAAGCGCATAGATGCTTCCTTAGCTACGGCCCCTCGATGCCCCTCGCCGAGCACTCTGAATTCACAACTAGCTCTATTCAAGCAAATCTCAACGGGGCAGCCGTTGTAAGAAAACAACCATCCAATCGACATCACTATCGTCGCCGTCACCATCAGCAGCATCGGCATCGGCATCAGCATCAGCATCAGCATCACCATCATCATCATCATCATCATCGTCAGACTCCTCCTCGTGGTACAACTGTGACTGTACTCATCGTCTCCATCGCCGCAGCGCCCAAGAAACTAAGCACTCCGAAACGAATGTGAAATTGCAGAAGTCTGCCTCCGACATTGACCACAAAGCAATCCGCGGGTGATACCTTTGTCCCTCTCACGGGCAGGAATGCATTGGGAGTCGAATATCTGACAAGGAGGAGCCCCTTCCGCGTGACAAGCTTCCATTGCTGGCCAGGACAGCTGCCACATATCTCCTCGACCGAATTCAGAGGGAGGGCTCGGGGGATGTTGGAGCTGAACACGAACTCTCAGCTTCTGGAGAGGTGGAAACCGCCGGTAGGCCCGAATCTTCACGGAATCGTGAGAGGCAGCTGTCACTGATCATGCTTCTTCAACGGAGCCTCACTTGAACTTCTTACACTCAAAGGTGGAGGAATCCGAAACCCTACACGGCCCCAAAAGGCCCGAAACTCTTTGGAAGTCGCGGCCTTCGGAATGGAAACCTTTAAAAGGTTTAGGGTTTAGGGTTTAGGGCGAGCGGCTGCCCGCCCTCGGAGAAGGTGGGCCCCAGAGACCGCCAGGAGGCCGTGGCAGGATCGAACTCCAAGGCCTCTTTTGCAAGAGGGTTTAGGGTTTAGGGTTTAGGTTTAGGGTTAGGGGCCTTAATCATTAGAATAGGGTTTTGGGGCCCATTATACTAGAGTTATAATCAGGAACCCCCAAAATAGTGCAGGTAATTATTTAGGCCCCTAGATTAGGGGACTTCGGGGACGTCATGCCTTCAGCCTTGGGGGCACGTTTAGGGTTTAGGGCCGTTTAGGGGTCTCGGGTATAGTGAGGCATTAGGGGTTTTACGGCTTTCAGGAGTTTTGGGCTTTGGGCTTTCGGGTTTGGTCATGCCAATTAGGGGCACTGGGATGGTGAGACCAAGTGGTGCCGGACAGAATTTGGGGCGTGCAATGAGCCTATTATGGGACTACAGGTTCTGTCTCACATGGGCCCCGCGCCCTTGGAACTTCGAGAATTCCAATGGGCAGCGTCCGGGAGGTTAAGGTCGGCAGGTCAGCGCAAAGCCAAGGTTCAAAATCATAGGGGCGTTGGGTCCAGGGCTGAGGGTGTAGGCACTATCATGAGGGAACAGTATTGCAAACTGTTCCGACCCCTGTACGGAGCCTGCTCGGCATCGAAAGGTGGGACGTAGATCCTTCCTGGGCGGGGGGGCTGACGGAGATCTTGACATAAAGCAAACTTGAAGCTTCAGTGCCACGAAGCCGCAAGCTGTGAGCTCAAAACTCGGAGCTTCAGCCCTGGGTCAGGCGAAGCCTCCTCGATCCTAACCAGATCCTGAAACTCCTCAGATAGAACATTCTAATGCTTTTGTTGGGCAGTCTATTATCGTGTTGTGTAGTAGCATTATGTAGGGACTAGAAGGGGATACTATTGCTAAGCATTCCGACCCCTGTGTCCACTTGCATCGTGCGTCCGCTTGGAGCTACCACAGCCGTCATGTACTTGAAGCCCCCACTGGGCAGCGCTTCACCCACCTGACACGAGGCTACTCTCGCCTTGACAAGGGCTTTAATGGGGCCCTTTTGGGGGGTTTACTAGGGCTTTAGATGGCTTTGCCATCCTGGGTGCGACTCAAGCCGAGTTCTTGTCGGCATTCGAATCACACGACTTTGCACGTTGCCCACGGCTGTCAACAAATCCTGCATCTCCCCGGATGTGCACCCCACGATTCAGCCCCTTTCTCGGAGTATGAGTGGGACCCTATTCGGAGCGGCTCCCTCACACCTCCCGGCTCGTGCCCATCACCGGGTCGATCTTCAAGAAGCGTGGTGCATTGAAAGGGATGCCATAAACACCTCAGGTTCTGCCACTGTTGTTGGGAGCTCGAGACCTTAAAGCCGTGAGCGTGCACACTAAAAGGCGACTGCGACAGTCTGGTCCAACCCAACCGGTGCCACTAAGCGGACGAACTCTGTCGATAAAACATTATCAAACTTCAAACGGTTCAGGCTCGCATCTCAAAGAGCCTTTCAAGCCACAGGCGCATCCATCGAGGCCACAGACGGCAGCCTTGTCAGCTCTCACGACAGGCTCAGCTGATGAATCTAACGGCTGACAACCTGGACCTGGCCAAGTGTGAGCAACAAGGTTCGCGATGAGAGAACTGACTTGATCAAGAACACTACCTGGTGCAAGCTTGACGCTTAGACTTACCTTCCTTGCACCAGGATTCCCGCTGCGGGATGTACACGCCTGGTACTTCAGGCCACCGTAAGGAAGCTCCTGCCCAAACTCCCGCACGCTCGTCATCTTCGGGTCGACCTGGTTCTGAGTTCTCAAAGACGTGACATCTGAAGCCACAGCGATATCAGTTGCTGTTACCATGCGCCAAGCACATAAAAGCAGCTGCCTACGCATTCCATGGGGTGTGCTCAGGCCCAGCCTCCAAGGCATATCGCGCATGACAGGGAACGGCGAAGATCTTTCCCCCGGCGCTCCTCAGACAAAACTCCCATCCGAGGCTCCAATGCTCCAATTGAAGACACACAGCAAGGCAGCAAAGTTCATTCCGAATGGGATTGCAAAGAGCTGTCGTGTCTTGCAGCAGCATTGCTGGACCGTCAGTGGGGCCAAAACCATACTGAAATCGGATTGCATCAAATCGCTGCCACCAAATGGCACAGCAGCCACGTATCGAGCTTGTCCTAGAGACAGCTCCTGGGTCAGTCTCATGCTTGCACGATCTTATAGGGAACTCGGCCGCCGTTCTTCTCGTATCGTCTTCACACAATGGGAGAGCTTGGGTGGCCTCGAGAGCACTGCCCGAAATAGTAAGTTACAACCGTCTTCACATGCAGGCTCAACAGGCTTCTGACACCCCACCGTGCGCCCCTGCGCACCTCGCCGACTTCCTCCTTGCGGCCCGACTCGGGGTCAATGCAGACCTCTGCTATTCGCTGTTCGGGCGGGCTCGGTGATCTTTGCGGCAGATGCAGGGTCTGGTGCCAGGAACATTCACTCAGATCTGTGGCTACGGCGCACCGTTAGAATACTCCTGCAAAGCAGATGTAGAACACACAGCAGTTGCACTTGTATTTGCGGTTGTGTCGTGGTCGTTTCTCTTGCTTCTATCGTCGCCAGCTTTACGCGGCATCATCATAACCGTGGTAAAGACCACACGCGAGCCTTCGACCAGGACCCAACGGAAGTGGCCATCGACCATAGACGTGGTAGTCGTGTTTGTGGTGGTATTCATTGCCACTAAACCTATGTCACGTTGGGAATAGCGGTCGAACGGAAAGTCGTGAGGACAACATTGACAGCATCTCTCATGGTCATAAGCAGCAATGCATAAGGTCATACAACGACCCTAACCTTATGATCCTTCCGCAAGAGTTCCAGTAATACTGTTCTTAGCAGCATCTCGAGTCCGAGCAGCCACTCGCCCGCAGGTCTGCGCAAAGGGGATGGCATAGACGCCTCCGCCAGCCTCCGAGCTGGCGGCTACAGCCACCTGGTACTTGAAGGCACCTGGAAGCTGACAGGATGTTGTACTTCGTTGTCACCTGGTAACTGCTCCTGACATGTGTCTACAGCTGGGTCTCGAGCTATGAATGCATCTGTGTGCATTCATTCGTTACGAGTATTATCCACGTCGCTGCAAAGAAGAACATGTTCGGAAGCAGGCATGCTGCCCGTGTGTGTGCATGTGTATGGGTGTACGTCTGTGTGAGCATGGTTGTATGTGCCTGCATATGTCTGTATGTTTATGTCTAAGAAGGGGTGTGTGTGTGTGGGTGTGTAACAGCTTGCATTGCATTGCATTGTGTTGTATTGTAGTTTCGTCTACTGCTGTGTTTTGTATGTATTGAACGGATTGCATGATATGATATGATATGATATGATATGATATGATATGATATGATATGATATGATATGATATGATATGATATGATATGATATGATAGGCTATGCTATGAACTGAGAGGATATGGGATGCTATTTTGTGATACGCAGTTACATGATTTCGCACGACAGGAATATGATGCGACATGGTATGATATGATGCGACATGATATGACGTGTTATGATACGATATGACGTGAGATGATATGATGCGATGTGATATCACATGTGTTGTGATATGGCATGTATGTTATGCAGCCTGCATGCACGGCTGGCTAGCTGGCTGGCCGGATGGATGGATGCATGGATGGATCTGTTTTTATACACGTGTGTAATTATGTAAGTATGCATGTGTGCATGTATGTACGTACGTATGTATGCACAGCTCCCACTGCACAATCGCGGTTAAGATGCGAGGATCCAGAGGCAAACAAATGCAAGACCGGGAATGTACAAAGCAGCAAACACGACCTCCGGCCGCATAGATGTGTATGCATGTGCCTTCACAGTATGCTGTCGTGATAATCACGAACAGCCCGCATGAATCCACACGGACGGCGGAGGGACCGTCTAGTACCAATACAGCCAGACTGTGAAGGGGGTGAGCCAACATGCGCCCTGGTGTATGTGCATGCCCGGTTGCCTTCGACAGGCAAGCCCACTTCTCCAACATGCCCGGTTTCCATGCGGTGTCCTGACAGCGTATTGAAACGGCTTGAGTACGACACAGAATATGACCGACAGGAAGTGCCGCAGAACCGCGGGACGGGATGGTACAGTGTACAGCTCGCCTGGATGAAGCCCGTGCTTTCGGCATCTTTCGTACAGTCGACTCGAAGGCAGACCGACAAAGTTCGGAACCCGAGCCTCTCCATTCGGAGCTGCGAGAGCTCGCCACGCGCGATTCCTGCAGATCTTCCAGTATCATGGGCTCCGAGTGCACGGACTCTAAACTAGCCGGATTCGTTCACGGAAAGCTCTCCTTCCTGCACACTCTTGTCCGCAGCTTCCTCCGCACGAGGAGCCACAAGGCACGGTAAGCTCCGAAAGCCCACAGGTGCAGCCTTAAATCGGTCAGTATGTTTCTTTCCTTCTTGAGGCGCTTCTTTCTTCCGGTCTGGCGAGGTCTCGTCCCAGGGGATGTGAGGGGTTTAAGGTTTTTCGGCTGCAGGGAGTCAAAGTCCCTGGATCCTCAACTCATGCGGCCATTGCAAGAACCGCGAAGCCGTAGACGGGTGGGAACCCAATCTGCATGGTGTCCGGGGACGTAACAGCGGACACCGAACAACCTGGCCTGCTGCCCACAGAGGTGCTGGCCCGAGGACATGCCACACCAAGGGAGAAATGTAACAAGGCAAAGCAACACCGTCTCTGTTCTATGGCTTGGTAAGAGAGTAGGAGTTGAAGCACATGCAGAAGATGTGTGAAGAATGATTGCCTTCCTATGTCACACTGTTTGCACAGAGCTTGAGATGCAAGGAACTGTCCAGCACTTCCGATGCACATAGGTGCTCTAGCTCCGAAATGACTGCAACCCATTGAACATGCCCGTCTAAGCAGCGATGTCTACTCACGGATGAATGGCTCACCACGGCGCGGACTCTATGGGCTTGTAGAATAGTAGAGCGAACCCAGTTGCACAGGCACTCTGATAAGCAAACGTTTGCAGCTCGCAGTCGTTACATTGTTTTGCAGCTGTAGCTGCACTTGTAGTAGCAGCGACGAAGATTGGACGGCAGAAGACTCTCCTTTCCGATCTTGCCGTCAAGGTGCTCGCACTGCCCATATGGCAGTATTTAAGAACCGCGGAGACTACTCTGCGCAAGCAATGTCGTACCTTGGAATCGTCCTCTGGCAGACAGCATACAGCCTGACTGACTTGACCGGCATTGCTGCGCATCAGCAGCACATCCAGATGTCATCCGGACTTAAGCAAACAATCTTGGCAAGAGCTCTTGCATCATGCCTCGCAAAGATTCTGTGCTTTTGAGGCAGGAGGGTCCGGCGTCGGAGGGAATCGAGGCGATGCGTCCACCATTGACCAACGTCACTGTGGCGTCGGAGTGGCAATCACAGGTGTTCAGTTCTCAGACATGTTCGCTGCAGTCATGTGCTTCAACACCAACCAGCAAACACAGATTCGTTGCCCGTGCGTAGTCATGGCGGAACTGTCAAATCCAGAACTACGGGAAAGTGCGATTACTGCACATGCTTCTGGGCACGAAAAGGAATCAAACAATGATCCGAAACAAACCCAAGCACTCACTTTCCCTCCATTATGAGTGAACCCTGCGCTTCCCTCCGCGGGCCGCAAGAGGAGCCGAGAAAAGCAAAAACGAATTCTCTTGCCCTCAGCACTCGCTACAGTTCAAAGGCTGCCGAGGCGAGGCCAGTTCCAAGTAAACCTTTCCGCTCCTACACTATGTGACTATATATGCTGTATGGTGTATAGTATACTGTGCATTGTAAATATGTGTATATATACAGGATATTTAGTAACAGTAGTATACGTATAGTATCGAGTATCAGTTGGTTATGCTGGTCACACCCCTGTCTCCCCGAGTCTCACGACTGCATCTAGACTTGGTATGTCGGAACCCCTCCTCCGAGGGACCAAGCACAGGCCCACAGTGCACTCCAAGCCTCCTGAAACCTAGAACTTCATCGCAGGGTTTAATCAGGGTTTGGGGTTTAGGGAACTTCATCGCAGGTTGAGCCGCAGCACTCGCAGCACTCAAAATGGCACCCCCACCCGCTACTAGCATCTGTGTAGAAGTTGATTGAAACCTCTGAGTCTGAGACACGATGTGACAGATGGTTAGTGTAGCGCTGGCGCTCGAGCGCCACTGTGCAGGGCGCATGGGCAAGGATGGCATCCATGAACCCTGTCTGCACCTTTTGCTCTCCATTTACATCCAGTATGCGAGGTCAGCATTAGCAAGAAGATGGTTCACCCTCTTAAGAAACTGCCGCTTTCTGACTACCTCCAACCAACCACAAAGTCTGTAACCCTGGGGACGGGCCTCCGGGACCGCAGGCCTAAACCCCAAGATCCGAGCCTTACCTTACTCAGTTCTTCTCTGTCTCGGATCAGAGAGCAAAGCGTGCCGCGCCTTTCAGCCTCAGGCAATGGTATCCACGTGGCTGCTGCGATCAGACCTTGGTTCTCGAAGCCTGACTAACTAGAACGCTCCGTCACTACTTCTGAAGATTCTTTTCCGCTTGAACTTGTATGAGTGTAAGCTTTGTTGGTACGACGATAAAAGAATAGCTGGTTTTGTCATGATTATCATGAAAGACTCATGACAGCCAATGCTAGCATCATCATTGGTGAGGTTCCGGGTCCAAGCCTGGAAGTTCCCAAACGAGTCCCCAAGGCTGTGGGTCTTGGCCCCCCTGCGCTGCAGCTTTGAGGTAGCTGTGCCGATGGATCTCCAAGATGAAGGAGTCGGTCACAGCTACCGCGCTGAAATCCGAGACATACCTGGGCCGATGGCACTACCCGTCCTGGACCATGAAACCCACACCGAAACCATCCAAAACTCCAGACTCTCTCGACCCCAGCCCAGCCCGAGCCCCTCATGAGTAGCGTTCTCGCAGAAGAAGGGGCATTCTTCCAGGCAGGCTTTCATTTCCAAGGATGAAGAATTCAGCTCAATCCCAAATTTTGGGGCTTGTTTCGAACGTGTCTCGTTACTTACGCTCCTATCCCGAATGGTGAGAATCGTGATAGTAACAGTCAGAAACAGAAACTCATGGGCATGTCTACCACCGCCAACATCATCGTGATAAACCAGCTTCTTCATTGCCCTCCTCGTCCTCCCTAAAACCTAAACCCCAAACCCCTAGAATCACAGTCCTCCTCAAGAGCCCACACACATGAAAAAAACTCGGGCGAGCGGCGGGTCGGCGGCCTCCGGCTGCAACAACCCAATGCCCAGCACCTGACAGCGAGCGTCCAAAAGTAAGGCGCTTTGGGGCTTTGGTAGCGTAGCTGAGGTTCGGAATCAGCAAGGATTCTGATTGAAGATGCTCATGGCTTCAGGACTTCGGAAAACTCTGAACTCCGTGCAGCGGCTGCGCGTGACCCCGAAGCTGAAGACCCCACATCTTGCGTCTCGGAAGCCCTTCACTCTTGACCTGATGCCTCCCAGGCACAGCCCAGGGCCCTGCAGAACTCTCGCAGTCGTCGAGGCCACTGGTAAGGTGCAGCGCACCTCATTCGGCGACACGGTAGAGTGTGTACCATGAGTAGACAAGGGGGAGCTTGCCATGTCGACAGCTGGACACCAAAAAAACTCCACAAAGAAATTAGAAGCTGAGCGCCCCTAGATCCCGAAGCGACAGTCGCAGAGCAGGGCACCTTGAAGCACAAGCGTGACGACATCCGTCTCCTTGCCTTTTTGGTAGAGCTGCGCTCGCTTTGAAATCTGCCTCAACTCTGCAAGGACACGAATGTTCACGCGACTGCCAAGGTCCTGGCTCCTGCTTTCCATATGCTTACATATTTGCCAGAGTAACCTGGCATTTCGTCAGTGCATCCCTCAGGCACTTTACGGCTCAACTGGTGGAGCCCATTGTGCAGAGGACTCGGCTTCCATGAGTGTTCAAGACCAACTATTGCAACATCTCCCACTGCCCAACCGACCCCCGGTACTGCAGGGGCCTTACAAATTGGAATAAGGTTTTGGGGGGAAATCAAGGGTACAAAGTATGATAAAGCGATGCTATTAGTAGTTCTTCCGACCTCCAGATTACCCCATTGCACCCTGGAGCTGCAGCCTACAACCCTCTTAAACCCTGAACCCCCAAAAAACCCTAAACCCCAGAATCTCCGCGAGCGGCCGAGGAGGGAGGGACTCCAGGAGCTCCAACAAGGCAGACTGGCTCAGTGCCTCTGCATCTTCTTTTTGGGGCTCAGGGGCTCCGGGTTTGGGAGCCAGGGCTTACGGTTTAAAGTAGGACTTAGGGTGTTGTGGGGGGTCTGAAGACCGAGCGCGACCTAGGCGCATGTTGGGAGAAGAGCCGCGGCAACGTGGCTGCCTGAGCGGAAAATGGCGGAAGCTCCGTTTGCTCTGGGCTTCTGAGCTCGGCTGTCTCGGCTATGATGTGGCGGCTTGAGCTGAGCGAATCAGATGAACTTCTTGTTGCTGGTACTTACTCGTCTTCTCAATCCCCGAATCGCGACGACGAGGCCAGGAAGGACATCACTGCTCCAGCTTCGTCCTGCTGAGCGTGGCAGTGCGTATCCAGTTGCTGGAACACCCTAGATTGAGATGAAATCCGCGAAAGAAACTGCCGTGACCGTGCGACGTGCCTATGCAAATATGTTACCGACTTGAGCCGCGGCTCGACTTTACTGCTGCTTTTCCGAACTTCTCCGGTCAGCGACTGTGAAGCGCAGCTGAGTTCTTGGTCCATCTACTTCTTCCGTATCGCCCCTGCACCCCCACAGCCAAACTCGAGCTCTGCCGCTTAGCAAAAGAGCTGGCAAATGTCTCCTGGCCCAAAGGCTCAGCGTTGGCAGCCATCTTCTCCAGTCGCGCACGGTCCTGGGCTCTTTCTTCGACTCTACAAGGCGTCACAGGCCTGAAGAATAGTCAGACGGAGAGGATGTAAAAAGGCGGCTGAGTCAGTTGAGGCATTGAGTTTTTGAGGTCCAACCTTCTCGACCTCTTCTGGCAAGCAAGAGGCTCAAATAGAAGCCAGAACAATCATTTATGCCATTCTATACAGTCAACGGCACAGAGATACTTCACTGAAGAAACCCCCAAAACCCTCTTCAAGTTATTCCCGGGCCCCATGTCAAACCAAAACCTTCTGAGGCCTTGGCTCTTGCTGCGAGATGAGGAAGGCTTGGTGAAATCGGCTCTGTTTAGCAAAGCAGGGCCGTCTGAAGTGCAACTTAGAGACACCCAGGCCACCTGCTGACAAAGTCTAGAGCCTAGACATTCGATGCTAGACCTGAACCCGAACTCCACAGCGAAGATTCGAAGCTGCAAGTACCAAGCCAGCAGCGTCCTAAGCCCCGCCACTTTAACCCGCGAAGATCCCTGCCAGGACTCGAACAGCTGGAGCGCTCCAGCCTGTGGCATGCCAGGCTCAAGATGGAAGGCACCGTCGCGGCTTAGTGCTTCAGGTTTCAAGAAGCTCTGCGACACCCTACTCTAAACCCTAAAAGGGCCAAACCCTAAACTCTAACCCTGAAGCGCCCTAAAGTGCCATCTCCGGCCCAAGACCGACGTTGTTCTCCTTTTGGCGGGGCCTGGCCTGGCGGTGCCTCCGTGGGCTGCCGCCACCGTCTTCGGAAAAGCCCACTTGGGCTTGCCTTGCTCCAAGCTGCACTAACACTGGTATTCGTGCATGTGTCTGTCGTCGTCGTCGTCGTCGTCGTCGTCGTAGTAGTAGTAGTAGCAGTAGCAGTAGTAGCAGCAGCAGCAGCAGCAGTAGCAGGAGTAGTAATAGTAGGACTGCACCTGTTCGCTCTCGTGGTCAGAAGATACTCTCACGACTCTTGCTTCTGCCAAAGCTACAGCTGTTCCAGTTTCGGAGAACTGATCTTCTGCCAGTCTTGCTGCAGAGATTGCTTCTGCTACGACGGCAGTGCAACTGGCCCTTAATCTTGTTCTCGCTGCAACTTCCTTGTTATTTTGGGATTCGCTTCACTTGTTGTCTGCTTTTCATCAGGTCCCTGACACTACGGCTTTTATGTCAGAGACGCAGGATGGTGCCGAAGATGTTGTGCAGGGTGACAATACCTCGGACCACAACGCGCAATCGCGCTTCTCCATTCGTCCCTCGGTCAGACCTCCGACGTCTGCAGAAGAAGCCTGCCTAAAAGCCTAATGCGCCGAAAGAACTAATATGAAACCTGTCACCCAATGCAACCTGTAAAACACTGAGCTCTTGAGGTAGGGCTCGTTTCTGCGCTGCGACGCCACTCTCAAACTCCAGATTCCGATGCCGTAGCAGCCGCGTTGCCTAGGTGGCAGGTCTCTGCCGGCGCCTCGCCATCGGCCAGGCTGTCTGCGACGACAGCCAGATGCGGGGCGCGCTTGAACCTGATTCCAAAGTTGGGGATTTGATTCGAAGTTGTAATTGCAGGAGTAAGGACAAGGGTACAAGTACGTTTCGGCTTTGTAGCTTCCAGTGGTACTGATATTGCAAGGCTCTTACTCACCGTTCCGGGATATTCGTTGCTGGGCAATAAACACCGAAGGTAGCAACAGTAGCGCTAGCTAGCTGTGACAAGCAAGAGGCACTGCAACAAGTTGGACAGATGGCTGAAAGTCCTTTCACACTACGTGAACTAATAACAACATGTGAAACAGTACAGCTCATGCATTCTCGAGTATGCACTGGTTAGCTACACAACTGCATGTATGGTTGTATGTGTAGCAAACATGGTTATGACAGCAATGCTCATCCCACCATCAAGCTATGCTAGGAGTTATTGACGGCATGACAGATATTGTTAATGATGATGATGATGTTGATGATGATGATGATGATGATGATGACGACGATGACTATGACGATGACGACGATGCTGGTGACAACGACGACAACGATGATGATGATGATGATAATGATGTAGATGATGGTGATGATGCTGAGGATGATGATGATGTTGATGCTGATGCTGATGATGATGATGATGACGATGACGGTGACGGTGATGATAACGATGACGATGGCGTTGATGATGACGATGGTGATGAGGATCATGCCGATGTTGGTAAGGATGTGTGAATGCAGCAACAGCAGGAAGAGCAACAGAACGATGTCAACGAAGCGTGGTTGTCGTCGTCGGTGCGACAGATCGCGACCGGTCGCTGCCACCGACCAGTGGGACTAAGCCATAACAACGGCAAACATATGAACCACAACCAACCATAACCTCATGTTCTGATACATAGAGATGTGTGACAGTGCACACCAGCAACAGTGACCCTTCCCCAAGTTTCATCAAACTTCGGTTGCAATCCGACCTTTCCGGGCCCAACGCTTTTTGCGAATGCAGGAACAGATCAGAGGTGTCACAGCTGTTACATGCACTCGTCGGTGGGAGCAGCGTTCTGCAACACTGAACATCACCAATTAGGTCGCGCGTAAGGTGCACTTCCTTGTATGGAGACATGCCATGCCGAGGCCCAGCAAATGACGGGAGGGGAAATGCCCCACGAGACAGTGGGTTACCGCATAAAGATCGTTAGGTCCACGCAACCCGGAAGCGGCAGTCCCTGCTGCGACCACTACAGCTCAAAGCATGCACCTCGCCGGCCGGTGGGAGTGCCGGGAGAAGAAGCGAGTCTTCGTCTAAATCTTTGCATCTCTACAGCTCCTATCCATGATTTGGTGAGGACACCTTCAACAGCCGCATGGTCCAGAACTATCAGCCAGACCATGCCAAGACTGGCACCTCGGACATCCATCAGCTACTGCCTTTACCAGTCCAGTCATGCAAGCAAGAAAACCGGAAGCTAGGTGCTTGACTCACGAGGGAGGATGGATTGCGCTGTTAGCCAGGAAGATATTGCCTGACCTGTGCTTATACAATTTCAAAGCCTCACGAGAACTTCCATCTCATGGGGGTCATTTCTGCGCGCATCCGGGCTTACGACGCATTGGGGAGCCCAGGAGAAAGGCTCATACCTGCACTCACCGGTCCCAAGGTGCGTAAAAGCGATGGTAACTTCTCATGGCAACACTCAAACGCATGGCACAGGCTTCGTTCATTTCGGGATAAGCGAAACATCTGGCTTACTACAATTACCATGAAGCGCCTGCTGCTGGAGGCGCCATGGGAGCGACAGATTGAGGAGGAGCAAGACCTCAATGCAGACTGTGCTCAGCTGCTGATTCCTCGCGAGCGTGTTCTGAAACTAGCTTAAGTGCGCGTAGGACAGCCACCGCCTGAGTAGCCACCGCTGAAGCCGCCAGTGTAAGCCACATGTCTGTCACCAGACGCCCCCTGCGCAATAGAGGCTTCGTGCGGTCATGCAGCACTCACGTGCCACAAAGCGTTGACGACAGGCCTGGGGAGGATGCGAAGACTGTGGATAAACAACAGGCGTGATGTGCTGAGGGTGGCTGACCTGACTTTCGCGACACAGTACCCTGGCCAACTTACCAGACCGTGCTCCAGAGAATTCGATTGAGCCCTCTGGTCCCGCCAGCAACAACTGTCCCCTACCAGCCACTCGGAACATTGGGACTCTCCACTGCTACCTTGCAGAGCAGATCTAATCAGTGTTTGCTTGAAGCACAAATGTTACATGCATATGTGTGTGTGTATATATGTATATACACACAGAAAGGGGTGCGTGCGGAGATGAGTATCCTCGCGACATCAGGAACCTACTTCCAAGCTTTTGGCAGGGATGGTTCTTTGCCTTTGGACTCGCCTCCAGCAGTTAAGCCCTTACCTGGATGGTATCCTAAAGGTGCTAAGGTGGTGCGACGCAAACTTGTGCCTTGGGGTTCCGTTAGGGTTTGCGTCTGTCCTCAGGAGTCACATGCTAAGCTTCAAGATCTCCTCAGCAACAACTGGTCGTGGGCATTGACATCCGAATCTCCGGTCGTCAATGGCGAGTCGAGTGAGTCGCATGTGTCCACCGTGTGCGGCATGCTTGAGCCTCATAGTTTCGTCGAGACAGCCGAAATCGCTTGGGTCGGCATCCCACGTGAGCATCATGAGCCTGCGGACTGGCTCGGGCCGACAGCTCGTAAGCCGAGGCGGCGTAGCATTAAAATTACATCACATAATGCTACATTGCATGACATGACAACACACTACATTACATAACACATGCTCCATTACATGTTTTTGGGCGACCCTATGCAAAGCTCATTCGCGATACTAAATTCACTGCGAGTAGGAAACGACGGAGGTGGACCTAAGGAGCTCGTTGGCAGCCCCACTAGCTTGTTCCAGACTGGACGGTTCACTGCCAGGTGTAGGGAAAAGTAGGGTGCTCGGTAGGGAGGGCCTGAGGGGCCTGTGAGAGCCAGTGCCACGCCAATTCGGCGCACTGTGCTACCCAGTGTACTCTACGACCACTTGGCCTTATCCATGTCTTTACAGTACCACCCCCGTAAACAAACGCCTTCGCAAAAACACAGTCCCTTTCCAGGTTGCTCGGGGTTGCTCTCAAAACGCAAGCGAACAATTTAACTGTGCCCTGTGCATGTACTGTGTGAGGGTGGGTTGGTCTGCAAGAGCGCGGACGGCTTCGTTGCGAATGCTCTGGGCGTTGGGGTTGTCTGTGAAGATCTTGGTGTAGAAGGTGGCCTTGACCCGTTGGGTCTTGCGGAGTGACTGTGAGTGGAAGGCTTACAGCCTGTGGAGGTCTGCTGTTGTGAGTGCTGCGGACTCCATGCCACAGGCCAGCATCGGGACAAACAACACCGCGTTGTAGATCATTCCATTACAGCACAATATACAATAGACTGCAGTACTTTTTTCCTTACGGTACGCCACTACCTGACACTAAGTTATATTGCTTACGCTGATTTACATTACTTTACTCTACTTGCTACATACATGCATGCATGCATGCATGCATACACACATGCATACACACATGCATACACGCATTCACACTACACTACATTGCTTGACATGGCAGTACACTACCACTACACTACATCACTACATGGCATTGCACTACAGTACTGTACATCATCCCGTTTTACGTTACTCTGTCTTACCCTCCACTACTGCATTACTCTACAATATTCTACACTACTTCACAGTACGTTATGTTGCCTTACGTTACTTGACGTTGCTTTACATTACTTGCATGCATACATACACACACAGATTTACATGTACATACATACATACATACATACATACATACATACATACATACATACATACACACATACATACATGCTTGCATACATGCATACATGCATACATGCATACAGCAAGTATGCATTCATGCATACATGCATACATGCATACATGCATACATGCATACATGCATACGTGCATACATGCAGACGTGCATACATGCATACATCCATGCATGCATATGTACATACGCGCACACAGACGCACAGAGATACATACGCCAAAAAACGCGGTAGACATTCTCTGGGAGAACGGCTGGATGAGCGACACTGTGATGACTTGCCACCTGAGCTGTTGACCAACTCTGCCTTGTCGGATGAAGTCCCCTCTGCATCTCATACCCGCTTGGGGAGAAACTCCCTTTGGCTGTGTTTTGCCCCCGACGAAACTCTCGCTCCAAGTACGGGCATCTATCCATGTTGGGGATCCTCCTCTGAACTTGGCCTCAGCCAAACCTTAAGGTGCAGAGTTTCGGGCTTAATGGCTTAATGGCGGCTCCTAAAGTCGAAACTTCGTTCAGAGATTGAGGACCAGCCAGAAAACTCGGCCATCGGAATTACCATCAGGTCCCTTCATTCCTCCGCACTGGCACGCTTGCCGCTGGGGCACATCACGGCCTCTGCTTGAAGCTCTCTCGCTCTTGGTTGCCGTGGACCGACAGCGATCCCCTCTCTCGACTCTCTGCGTGGCGATGTGTGCCCAAGCTTGATTGCGAGGGGTGTTCTGCAGTTCGGCAGGACCCCAGGTGCTTGCACCGTCCAAGTATTCCTTAATGTGCCGTGGCTCCGGTCCCGATCCACCAGTGCTGCAAACCCAAATCGGTCATGGTGGAGACATCTGCTCCAACTCAATCCGCTGCAGAAGGCACACAATCTGCCAGCTCGAACGCCGGGCTTGCAGCATGGATTTCGCTACACGTTCCTCTCGTAATGTTGGGCGGAAAACACGATACCTTCTTCACACCCAATCACGCCGGAGCTCTCTGTGTCTCCCTTTTGCCTTGTTTCGGCTGAGACTGAAGTTTCCAGCCCTGTGCATAAGAGCACCCGCCTGTCCGAACCTTTGCAAGCGAAACTTCCGCATGTTGCCTTCTCAAACTGCGAGACTTTGTGAGATTCATGCTCCGGATAGAACTGTGTCCTTTTCTTTGCTGGATTTCGCCAGGTTGAGGGAGGTTCCGCCGCGCAAGTGGGCATCTCCATGCGAGCCACCCGACTATGAAACAGCGCTTCAGGCTAGAAGCCTCACTTCAGGTAGCGTGGTTTCCAGTAGGAGCATTGTCTGATACGCCCTCGTCTGGACTTTCGGGTCTCCCTGCTTCCGGCGATAGAACGAGCAAAATAAGGCGAGTTGCACAGTACGCACCCCGACTAGGGTATCCTTTCATTCTGGCCTTGCTCCAAGCGGTAGATCGTGTCCCTGTCTCTCTGCCTTGCCTTCTGCAGGTATAATTGGAGTGGACCCCCTCCTTTGCGGCTCGGGCCCCCCCGGCCAAAGCAGGCGGACGCCCGCTGGCCCCGCTTTCTTTCTCCAGGACCTGAGGGTCTGGTCAAGGATTTACACTGAGAACATGCTCCAGACATGGTTGGAGTTGCAAGGGTGTTTCTCCCATCTCTGTGCAGTAGGTTTACAACAGCTTCCCCCCCCCTGTAGCACTTTGGCCATATGGGGCCATGGGGTTTGTACGATGTTTCCGATCGGCGAACGAATTAGGCCTCATCTCGCGAATTCAACTGATGTGGAAGGCTCAATGTGAACGCAGACCATCCGCCAGTTTGAGCGGCTTCATGGGGTTCCCTTTGATTCCAGCCTCTCCTGCCCAATAAACAGTTTGTTGGCATCGCGGTCTTGTCGCTGCTCGCCTTGCTTTGGTTGAATGCGAGAGTGCAACCTCTCCACTGCACACGCAAGGTTCTCTCTCGTCTCGAGCTCACACACTATGCAGAACTGAGGCGCTTGCATAGGGCTGCGGAGGAGTGCCCTGGTGGCCGATTGCGGGATGATGGCTAACTGATGGATGGTGAGGATGGTGAGCATGGTGAGGGTGGCTTGCTGGATGAGCACTTTGCGCATAGTTGTCCTGAGACCCAACTGCAGCAGCTTCCCGCAGACAACATACAATGACTAAGCAAGCCAAGCGACGTGTAGGGAGTGATGGGATCTGTTGTAATTTGGTGGCGAGTCGTGTCGCCTATCAACCTCAGGTATCCAAGAACTGGAAGAAGCTCAAAACTTCGATGATGCTCGAATACTGCAGGCCGTCAGGCCCCGACCGGTGCATTGCCAACTTGGCCTTGCTGGCCCTGATGGTGCCGCCGGCCTCGCCACGGCAAACACCGATGCAGCACGATTGCCCTGGAGGACACTCGCCACAGTCGCCCTGTCTCTGGGTCTGTTGCGATTCTGCTGGCCCTCTCCGAATTGCTGTCGGTACCTTCAACATCGATTCTGGCCCAGGTGCTCGCCGAGGCACTGCTGACGTGGAGATGCGCACGCGCGAACTCTGGCAGAGATCTCGCTGAAGATTTGCTGAAGTCTGACCTGTCTACAGGTATAACTGCTCCTGCAACGGATGCAGAGGTACCGACAGGATGCCTTGTGCCCGGGCAGCCACTTTACATTGTTGAAGGCCTCTAGAACACCAAGGACTCGCGAGCTGGCCACATGACTATCGGCAAGCGGTCAAAAGCCTCGACATCGACGAGGCTGTCTGGCGACAGCGTTGTCAGCGTGTCGAGAGTATCATACCTGCGCAGTGCGACTATGCAGCTTAAACCAGGAGGTGTTGAATTCTGTGGACGATACCCTGCATTCGTGAAGTGGGCAGCCACGGCTGTGGAGATCTTGTGTGCTTTGAAGAAGTTCACGACCTGCAAAAGGTAGGGGTCTGCGTAAGAGCCTGAGCCTTCAGAACTCTCCCCTGAGAAGGTGTCAGGCGGCCTCGTGCCTCTCCCTCTCCAGGTCAGGGTCCATCTCAGGCACCGCCATACGATTACACACCCGGAGTCTGTGGAGCCTGCGGAAGCTGGACGTGTGCCTGCCAAATTGAGGCAAAGCCGTGCAAGTGCTCGGGATAGTGCCTCAAGACACCACGGGTATCGCCGCATGACCCGGCAACGAAGACTTCAGCACTGAGAGCAAGGCTTGCAAAGAAAATCCACGACAAAATGTATGCAATTCTTTGGCTTCTGCTCCTTCCGTCTCCCAGGTGTTAAGTAACTTGCATCGTTGATTCATGGAACGAAGACTTTAGCAACCTCGGACCACATTACCCGCCTCTATCTCCTGAGCGAGCCGGGTGAAAAGCTGAGATACAGCTGCCTGGGAGAGACAGCGCTCACAACTGGCTCAAAAAAAGCCCCGAGGGATCATGAGACCGGTACCATGGACCCGCCACCACCACCTCCACCAGGTGCCTGCCCGAGCAAGGAATCTCACATTGGAGTTCCTTGTGCATTCGCTGGCCTGCGAAGGTTCATAGCCGCTTGGCGGACCATCAACGCCCAAACCTCAGAAGAGCCGAGCACAGCCTTCAGATGTGCGAAGATCCGGAAGATCGAGGCTTCAACTCTGCATCCCGTTTGCCATTGCTCATTCAAGAAATCTTCTGATAACGTACCACCGTGTTGTCGTGTCGTCGATTGCTTTCACAGCCTTTCGGATGAGCTCGACGATACTTCGGGATATGTCGGTCTTGCACACAGCTGTAGCCATTGCTGCCTGTCTTGGGTTTACATGACATTCTTCAAGCTTGAGCCGTGCAGCACAGAAGAACCGGGTGGCGGCTGCCGGGGTTGGTCCACGATGAGAGGGTGCGAGAGTTACTGCAAACTTGCAAGTCATAGGACGTCGTGGTATCAAAGCAGCTGGGATGCGGCTGCCATATTACACTCCCCCTGCGTGCCCGCCATGTGAGATCGCAAATCAAGCTCATGCTGTGGCTTCTGGGTAAGTTTCTAGCTGGGGCCCGTCCCCCCCAGCATGCTGCATGCAGCAAAGCATTATCTCCTTGGCCGGTCAGTTGCTCAGTGGAGTGAACCTTGTGGAGTCGGGGCGCCCGGCCCCGGCTCGCTCCCGAAACAACAAGAAATGTCGGGGTCTAGCTCGCTGTGGTGCCTTTCTTCTGGTACACACCTCTGGTCATCGAAGCGTGGCATGGTTGCACGTCAAGTGCAGGAGCGAGGCGGCGACGGATGTAGTCAACGTGGAGCTGTGAAGGGAATTGTGTCAAGGAAGCATCTCCTGTCTGCCGGGACTGAATGAACTCTTGGCTCAAGCTCGAACATAAGTTATGAGCCTCCTGAGTGACCACCAACTGCTAAGTTCAGGATCATGAAGAACTTCCTCGGAGCTCCACAGATTCCACAGCGACACCAAAACAGAAAGAGCTTCAATCGAAGAGGTCTCGGGAACCCTATGAGGCTGCCGCTTGCCCTCCGTGAACGGATTGGGCCAAGAAGTTCGCTTCGAATCCGCCACGGAGAGGTCAAGCTAAGGGGGAAGGCGATGACAGACGCTCTACTGGAGCCCCAACTCCACGCTCAGGCCAGGTGCCTTCAGAATGACCTCGCCATCTATACGAATCTCTATAAAGTCTTCGTCCCATTCCAGCTGCCAGGTGTGGTAGTACCTTGACGTGGCCAGCTGTGCTACTGCTACACTGCCAGACAGGCTTAAGAGCGACAGTTACGCTGAGCAGACAGCTTCTCCCACTCGCGATCGATCATTCGAGCACCTGTCGTACTGAAGAAGCATCCGGTGCAGCCTTGAAACACTTTTCCAGGGCTTCTAGGCTCCTGCCATCTCCTGCCTGCATGCTGGATGGCACTGCTGGGAAGCCCGGATTCACCAGCATGGATCACCTTGAAAGCCGCGTTGTGCAGGGGAAGAGAAAAGCCTCCCCTGCCAGAAGAGGACAAGTTGCACTCGCTTTGACCATCCTCTGGAAGGCGTCCATGATGTCGATCTCCCCGTTCTTGGGCCAGGGCACGTAATCGAAATCACCTGAAGCGGGTTCCCGAGAACATCTCAACGATGGCACTGCCGTGCCCGTCTTCACTTCAAAGCTGCCGACCGACTGCCCACCAGCTGGACCAGGCTCCTCGGAGCTCTCCAAGCTGTTTTGGCGGGCCATTCTCTTCGGCTCTCTCCAGCCTGGTCTGGTGTCGATTTTGGCACGCAGCTCGAAGAGGCCATAGGAAAACTCCTCCACAGAAACTCTGTTTTAACTGCAAGCGGTGCTGAGAGGACGACAAGGCTTCCTGCATCTGCAAAGCCTGAGAAGCCTATGCAAGATTCGACCCCAGCCGCCCCCTTCCACCGCGCGCTTTGGCCTCAGCCCCTTTCAAGGACTGCTTCCTGCACGCACATCCTCCCACTTGCCCTGGACATGATGCATCATGCTGTCGTCATGGCGACGTAACCGAACCCTGAAACAGCATCCGCAAAAAAAAGCTGAATGCGTCCTTCTTGCCGCGAGTCATGAGAGATGCAGAGGTGAACTCTGCTGATTCCGAACAGTCGCATGCCGGACCCCCGGAGTCGTCATTCCTCGGAATTTGCCAGAGCTGTGCTTCTGCCAACACGCCCAGTTCAAGAGCTTTTGCAACGAGGTGGCCGCACCAAGTCGCAAGGGTTGTAGTACTGAAAATATGGAGGAGCACAAACAGCACCTCGTGACACTACAGTTCCAGTATCTCCATGGACCCATGGACCATGCTTTTGTAAGAGCGGCACATGAAATCTTGTCCAGAGGCTGCTCGTTGGAGTCCCAGTTCACGACTTGGCACTGGGGGCCCTGGGTGGCAAATGCTGGCCGTGGCTCCAATGCCGATTTTCCGCTTCTCCGTCCTGTGGCTTCTCCCATGCCTGGCGCTCTCGCTTAGCCGTGATGATCAAAGCACCATCTTTGCCTCCAGGCACACACAAGGTGAAACGATTGCAGGATGACCCTACAGCCTGGGCAGAATACACCGCCACTTGAGCGGCTTCGTGCAGGACTGACATCACTAGATGCAACCCCGTCTGCAGCGCAGCACGTCCGACCGTGGCGACCCAGACGGAGAGAGGAACTCGAATGGCTATGTGGGCGGATGCAGAAGTTGCCCTCTTGCTGTCCGAGTGTCACTCTGCGTTCTTTGGCTGATACCATTGCAACTCCTGTCGAGAAGCTGCTTGATCAGACACTGAGCGGCATGTTGGGATACACTCATGCGGGCGTTTCTGGAAGCCAACAGTGCTTTGGCTTGAGGTTCAAGAAACTGTAACAGTCCGGCAGTCCAGCATCATCTACACATGCAGTGGGCTATCAACCCAACACCCGTACACACATGCATGCCCCTGCTGCCTGGCAGCCTACTTTCCTACCTACCTATGTAGGTACCTACCTAGGTACATGCATACATACGCACATACATACGTACACACATGCATACATACATAAGTCAAACATGCGTGTACGCACAATCATGTTCATGCTCATCTATTTAATTATTTGCAATATCAATGCACAAACCCTTAAATCAATTTTCTCCAAGTAACCCAGAAAAGGCACATCTACAGAATACGCGAACATGCCACGTGCACGGGCAATAAAAAAATCGCCTGGATGTCTATACATATACTAAGATATACAGAGAAAGAGAGAGAGAGAGAGAGAGAGAAATATGTGTGGACACAAACGCAAGGATAGATCGGTCCGCCGACATTTACAGGCCCATTTCGGCCTTCCCTGGGGTAGGGCTGCAACGGGTTTATGAAAGATAGCTGGTCGATGTATGTCGATGTAAAATGAAAAATCGAAGACCCATAAAAATTCTAGAGCCATGTGCCAAGAAGAAAGCTCCACCCTGACCAAGTAGAGCTTATACAAGCAAACAGTACCTGGATGCTGTGCTCACAGAAGCAGGGCAACTCGCAAAGCGTTGTTGCTGTCCGTAAGGTGCTAGTAGTTTTCTGAGGGCTTCTCAGAAAGACCCTGCTGGGGAATATCCTCCGGAAACAAAACTAATTGACAAACAATCCCACACCCAAGGCCTCTAAAGTCAACATTTGAAAGGAAAGCTCCCACACGAGAAAGAGGAAGAGGAGGAGCTTTCGTGATCGACCAACAAAGACCAACCCCCCCAATGAGCATTCTGGCACTCCAGTGGCTTTGAAGCAATATGTGCTCGTCGCTTTGACTGCTTGGCGTTCCGCCTTTTTGCTGATGTGTGCTGTTAGACAAAGCCAGTTCCAAATCCAAAAGATCCCCCGCTCTAGAACCGCCGATGGGGTAACCACTTGTGGCCCTGGTTCGTGTCGGGGCCTGGTTGAGAAACCCTGGCCCTATAACCCCAATATATAGGGTTCATATTAAGAACCCTAGTAAAGAGCCAGGGTTTCTTAATCAGGTTTCTACATTACAGGGTATTAGTAGATTGAGCCAGGTCAGTTCTCGAAGCCAGCAGCTGTTGAGTTTGAAAACCTAAAATGCTGAGAAATGTGAGGAGCGCAACACAAACAGACCTGCCTCTCTACCTGGACTATCTACAATCGACAACTCTTCGCTGACGTTTCTGACACCACCCAAAGGTCCTTGCCCCGCTTGTATCCGATTTCGGCACCTGGAAGATTCGAGCTGCATTGCTGGCGGAGAACCGACACTCCAGAAACAGCCGAGGCGCTCCAGAACTCCGGGCTAGGCCGCAGGACGCCCGACATATCTGGGACGCAGGTCTCAGAGTCGAAATGGTCCTGAAGAGTCGGAGCTGTAGGCGGCACAAGCAGTCAACAAACAAAAACGATATAAACACCTCCCAGATGAGCTCCCAGACGGGCAGTCCAGGCGAAGCCTCTGCAATCAGGAGAAGGTACACCAACCAAGATCATACAGCCACCGGTTCGCTTCCCGCATTGTCGCGAGTGTAAGTGCTCTGAGGGCTTCTAGAATGATGCGCGGCAGTAGACCCGCTGAAGCGGATCAGACCCCGTGATATGCACCGGATTGGGCGGCCCGAACAAAGAAGAACGTGTTTTCAGATCACGGCCCCTCAAACCCTAACCCCAAACCCTGAAAACTAAGCTTCTAGCCCTGGAGCTAGAGCTGCCTTGAGGGTTTTCATCATGCGTTTTCTTGGAATCCATCTAGACCATACAGTATCTAAACCTTTCTTCGGCCTCCACTAGCCGAGTAAATAGAAATCGTTTGCAGGAAGGGCAGGGAGCACGCCAGCCGCCACTTGCCGCTAGCCTTTTGCGCGGCAGGCAAGTCCGGGGCGTTTCAAGCAAAGCCAGAACTCGGGACCGAAAACCACCTATTCAGTTTCGGGTTTCGATTTCCCGAGTCCAACGACGCAGTCCGGAAACTCCTCCGTTTCGGCCTCCAGATGTACAGAAATGCCCAAGACTCGCCCGGCAACTAGCAAAATCAGCCCCAAAATGCAATTTCCATGCCTCTGACCACAAACGTCGGCCACAAATTTCGGTCTTGAACACAACATGTGCAAAATCCTGCTCTGCACCTAAAAACCTACACTAGTCGCCAAGATTTCTTGCTTTAGCAGAAATCCTGCCACACATTTGCCGAAATCTCACCCAAAACCTGCTATTCTCTGGCTTCCGAAAATCTGCCCGGAAACATTATGTTTATGATTTAACGACGTCCGGTCAAAGCACCACACGGAACCATCAAATTTGTCGAGATCTGGCCGAACATGATCTGTTGCAAACACCTTTCTTGCCAAAATCTGGCCAGACACTGAAACTGGCCGAAATCTGGTCGGAAACTGAAACTGCGCAGAAATGCGCTGGCGAACCCTCAAAAACCCCAAAACCCTCTGATCGGTTTCGGCTCACATGCAGATCTGAGTGGCAAATCTGCTACACGAAACCCTCGCGCACACGCTCGAAGCCGATACCTACAGCTACCGTTGCACAGCCTGCTTCAAGACCGGACGGCAGTTTTGAGTTTCGATGAGCTCTCTTTGTGCCCTACTGAAGTGCACTCTCCGTGTCCGGGCCCCGAGCCGGCTCCGGCTTAGCACCGGCGCAGCGGCCCGGGCTCCATGGCGTGCCTCGGGTCTGCGTCGCTGAAAAACTCTCGAGGTGTCACTCTCCGAGCCGCCTACACTTCGCAGTGCCAAAGCCCGGAACGCATTGCGCCTGCGTCCAGCCTCGGGATTTCCCTTGAAAGAAGCACCGCAATCCCACAACTGTATATACAGGGCTGCAATGAGGCTGTCAGAACGGCCTGTTTCAGTAGTTCTCGTCGGGCTCCCAGGAAGGAATTCACAGCTGCCCGAGTCGTCTGGACAGAAGACCGCACTGAAGCAACGCTCCCAGTCACTCCCGCATCTGTGCCTTTGTAGGAACAGCAGCCATCTGCGGCTCTGCTTGCACACATCAGCGCACACGCCCACTGGCTCCATGCCTTGGTGTGGCTGTACTCTGGCCACGCAGCTGGTTCAAATCCACCGAGGATTGGGCGCGCTTGCCTTCCACTTTGGGCTGGGTGCCGTTTCCTAGCCCCACCTCGTCGAGGCGATCGTTGTCCTCTCCGTCAGGTCGGCAAAGCAAAGGCTAGGCGGCTAGGCGGCTAAGCGGCTAGGCGGCTAGCCGTGCCTGGAACCTAAATGGGCCTTTCCTAACATCCGCCCTATCTGCCCCGCAGCCTGTGGGCCCCCAAATTTGTCAGCAGGCCGTGGGTCTTGCACATTGTCTACCTGCCGATTCCTAAACTCGACAGGCACACACAAAGCATCTGTTTCGCAGCGTCCCCCGGCCTGGGATAGCGCTGCCTCGCCAACCTGCGAATGAGAACGACAGACCCTGCTTTTGAGCGAGACAATGACTCGAAATCTCTGGCTCTGCTGACTAGAACCGTCTGACACAACCCGGGTCGCCCACAGAATCAACGGCGGCATGATGGGCATGGTGATATCGGTGGTGATGGAAGCTGGTGTCGCGCCGCATTTGCCGATGTGGCCTTGGTGCACAGGAGACCTTGCTAGAGTTTACGCTTGGTCGAACTTGCACACCCAGCTAGAGCCTGTAACGTTGTTGAAGCAGCCTTGCTGGTTGCGGCAAGAACGGCGAGTTTATCCTTGTAGCCGAGATTCGGATGTCTGTGTCGCGGCGGGGTCTCGCCATCGGCGAATTCGAAGCTGCCCTTGACAGGGAGCCAGTGGTGTACCATGCTGGGGAATGCGAATATGTCTTCTCCGCTTCGGGTGCAGGTGCTGAACGAATGCCAAGCCCGCTGCGGCTGACACAAGAACAACAATTGACCACGAGAGGCGAAAAGCCTGGGGTGCTTCGTGCTTGCACAAGTACATCTTTCTCGATAATTACCTGGATGACGACACCGCTTCCAAAGTCTTTCACATTTGCTGAAAAACTGAGGCAAGAACTCCAATGTGCCTTAGCTGCATGCAGATCTATTCAGACCACCATGCAGGCATCCGACAGTTGCAACTTGGGTGATCCTGACTTGCAACCCAGGCACATCAAAGAACAACGTCTGGCCGCTGTTCGGCTAGAGATAAATGCGAAAAGGATGGATGGCCCAGAAAAACGGAAACACTCGAGCCGAAGCTCGTGCCTCCAACAGCAAACGCTTCGAAACAGCACTCTGGTCTCGACCGGGCAGTTGTAGAACATGGCGGCTCATTCGGTTTGGCAGCTGATGCTCATGATGAGTGCTCACTGGCGCCTCAGGATGAAATTCTTTAAAAGCTGATGCCGAGGGTGCTCTCCTATCTCGGCCGGGCAGATGCAAGACATGGTGGCTGGATTGGGCAGCCGATGCTGATGATGAGCGCTCATTCGCGCCGGAGGGTGATTTCACACTGGAAAGCTGATGCAGATGATGCTCTTCTGTATGGGCCAGGACATGGCCCTGGTTAGATTGGGCAGCTGTCATTTGAGGATGAAAACGCAGGGGAGCTGATGCTGATGACGCTGTTCTGTCTTGGCTGGGCAGATGCAGGACATGGGCGATTGATTGGATTGAGCAGCTAATGCTAGAGTGAAAAGGCTGGGGCGCTGATGCTGTGATGCTCTCCTGGCTGGGCGGCTACAGGACATGAGCGGCTGAAAGGCTTGGGCAGCTGATGCTGACGATGCGCTCTCGTTGCACCCGAGAATGCAAAGGCCGGGTAGCTAGGCCGGGTAGCTGATGCTCATGATGTGGGCTTGTGGGCACCTGAGGGTTAAACAGGGCTCATGCTTATGAGTTGGCAGGTCTTCCTGGAACAGCATCGAAGATGTGATTTTCCTGTGGGGCGAGGAGACGAGTTCCTCTGTACATTTGCGGACTCTGACAACCCTGCCGGCTTCATGCATTCGAGCTCCACGGAGACATTCTATCAGCAATTTTCACGCTTTGGTGGCTCTCAAATGCTCCTGCCAGCCCAAAAGCTTGTTTGCTGCGCACACGCGATGCGAGAAAGCGCTGCAGGCTGAACCTGGAGCTGCCGGAATTCGTCAACCATTCCTTTGAACGGGCCTCCCAGGATGGAGATGGGGCAAAGCGGGAGTTGGAGAGAAGCGGAAGAGCACTTGGCCTCCAGGGACAAGGCCTGTTGCCGTCAGACCGGTCGTCACTCTCGAGTCATGGACTTGAGACAACAAGCAGGGCCTGCTGCAGCTCGTTAACCTGCTCGCAACAGCACGGGTCCGCATGGCCCAACATTCTGCAAACATACAGTACCACAAGCTTCATGAGCATCTAGAAGCTCTGCACTGAAACCCTTTGAAGCCTCCAGAGAACCCATTCAAAGCTTTTGGTTTCGAAGTCAGGAAACTACAAGCATCGAAAAGGGGGCCATACCTGGGAGCACACCAGACAACATACCTAAAGCCGTGTCCCTCCCGGCTGCTCAGAGCGCTTCGAAGAACTTCAAACATTGCCCGTTGCATGGGACAGATGGGCAACAACATCCTCGCGCTCCACGTGTACGCCCGCTCGGGTCGACCGGTGATGTGAATCATGCAAAGCGCACTTGGTCAGAACCTTCCACACTTTTGGCGGGGGGAGTGCATGTGTGACAACTTGGATCCGCTGCCAGGTGGTCTCTTCTGCAGCACTCGCTGTGAAAACGAGACATTCAGGGCAATGCTCGGATTGCAAGCCTGCGACAAGGCAGCAAGCAGCTGCTCCTGCAGGTTCGGTGAGATGTTACGCCACAGTCTCATGTCACCTCCCCCTCGAAACCTCAACCTCCCGGCGTTCTTCTTGAAGTTGGAGAATCCACCTCGACTGCACAAAACATCAGGGCCTTTCAAAAACTGTCCCGAGTGTCCTTCCGAACTCCTCCAAGCCAGGCACATATTGCTGCGTTCGACGAGCAAAAGCATCTGCACGAAGTCAGAGCGGCCGTCCGTTCACGTGCAAGTGATCATTCAAACACCGGTGCAAGGTCCTCCTGCTGCTGCAAAGAGAATTCATCCATCATCTTTGAGAAGCGAACAGATAATCGCCAAGCCTAAGCGAGCCGTTCATGATGCAAAGGCGTGGCATTCCAACTTAAGCAGGCTAGTGTGGCTAGTCTAAGACTGTTTTCCGCCTGCACAGGCAAGCATGCAAGATGAGATTCTGTTCTGTGGAGAGTAGCCTGCCCAACTCAGATGTTGGCTGCACAAATGGCTTCTGCACAGATGGGTGACACTCTTGAGAAAGCGCGGGACAAATCTGATTACAATCAAGAAGAACCCGGCGAATGCAACACTCAACGAACTCAGCAATTCAGGTTTCATCGGGGCTGTCCGGATTATCCGGGCTGTCCGCATCCTCGTCCTCGGCTTCGGCTTCCTCAGTCAAAGCCCTCTTTGCCCTGGCGACCTTTCTGCGATCCGATTCCTTCGTGACTTTGTAGATGACCTTCTTCGGCTGCTTCAACTGTACCGCCAGTGGAGGATCTGCACCACGCAGCTGCTGTGCCGGTGCGATGGTGCAGTGCTTCATCCATGCAGGTGGCAAGACATCCACAGGGGCGGCAAATTCCTCGTCCATTACAGCAGCCTGTCGAGTCAGTGCTGTGAGATCGTAAGAAGGCTTCTCGGTCATAGAGCGATCCTTCTTCATCTCAGCCTCGCGCTTGGCCTTCTCCATGGCCTGCGTTTGACGATGGCGCTTGGCTTCCTCCTCCGTCATGTCCTCCAACTTTATCTCTGTCTCTTTTTGTATTTTTGCCAGCTCTGCTTTGGAAATCTCCTTCTCCATTGCTTCCTCCTCTTCCGCCTTCTCCCTCTCAAGACGCAGGCGCTCCCTTTCCTCCTCCTCCTCCTTAGCCGCCTGACGCAAGTCGATAACCTCTGGAAGCGCCTGCTCGCCCCAAACAAAGACCTGTGCGAGGCCTTGGCCGCCCTTCGCAACCCAAGTCCTCAAAATCCACTGGTCTTGGTTGATCGGCACGCATCCCAAAGCATCTGGGCAGAGCATGTCGCACGTTTCTCGGAATGGTGGCTCGCCTCGCAGAAAAATGCGGCCGGTCTCCATCATGAAAAAGTCAAACGTAATCTTCCGGCAGAACGACACGGACCCTGTGCTGTTGTCCCAGAAGTCCATGCTTGGAAGCTTGGATTGAAGGGATTGCTGTAGATGAAGAATAGGATGCAACAAAACCGAGTACCTCATTAGCAGTTCCGCGAAATCCGAAGCATAGTATCTTCGGATCGGAAGTAAATCAAAGTTGATCTCGGCTGTGTCAAAGGACTTGATCGGACAGTTTTTGTAAGCTGCGAAGAACTCCTGGAGCTCGTAGCTGCGAATGTAGTGATACGTGGTACTGTCACGTATGCGAAGAATGCAGAGGAAGAGCGTCTGGGCAAGCTCCACACGATTCAATGAACAAAAGCGCAACATTACCCACAGAAACTTGTCCCAGGTGGCCTCCTCCTCACAATCTCCCAACTTCAGGATACATCTCAGCAACCTGATCACATACTTTCGACGGTCCTCAATGAGCACTGGCATTACATCCGCGGATACAGAATAGACAGTTGTGATGAAAGACTCATCATCTTCACAATGCTTCAAGTAATCGAAAACGGTGTAAATCTGCAGCATGTGCCTCTGCTGAATACCGATGGATTGCAGGTATGCAGCAACCTCCGGTGCGGGCTCTGGTGGTGAACCCTTGGCAAAGACTCCCAAGCAGCGCTTGCCCACATTGAGGACTCGTTCCAGCAAGGTTGGACCACTGTCATCCTCCTGATTAGGCTGCTGCTGTTGCTGCGGCTCCCCCATGAGAGTCAAGGGACCGTGCGGCCCGGCACAACATTGAAGCAGGTCTCGAACACAGCAATTCACAAACTAGGACAAGCGAATGCAAATTGAGCTCATGTGCATACTGCGAAACACCTAGCCTGCGAGTGACTCGACAAGCCTTGGCACGGTTTGCTGCCTCTTCCTGGTATGTCGCTTCATAGTCTTCTCTGTTTGGGCCGAAAATCGACATTGCATATTTACATGAAGGCATACTGCATTGGCACCGATGTGGGCAACGGCCTGATAAGAGCAGACATGCTTCGAGGCATGCACTTGCAGCCAATTTGCCAGCTCCGAGCGACAGCCTCGTTGCTGGCTCCATGCCGACTGGCAGATTCTTGTGGTTGCCTCTAGGTTCTGGACCACTCTCAACCAGCCTGAATAGGAGAATGGGACTTGGGGCTTGGGGCCTGTGCACCGATCCAAACTTGAATCTGCAACTGCTTTGTCCTGCAGATGAGACCGAGTTCTTGCGCAGCGACAACTAGCAGCAGCAACAAACAGTTCACGGTCTACCCGCATAATGGAACTGAAGTGCAGCATGGAGGTCCTCAAAAGCTGATAGGTCAATATGGCGAAGCCCGATAGGTTATCTGAGTCTACAACATCAACAAATCGGGGAACAGGTTTTTCCTGTTTGCCCTGGAAGAAACTCATACTCAGACTCCGTCTTGAGCACAAGTTTCTGGCCAGCCTCCATGTTGCTCAACGCAGAAATCAATGTAGCAAGCACTTGAACAGGCTTAATATGCCTGCATAGAGTGGATGCCGATGCTCCAACGATTCGTGCAAGGTAGGGCTTGCTCAGGAGCAACTAGAATTCAATCCACACGGGCTTGAAACCTCCTCAATGTAAGTGATGCGTGTGCCAAGAGCGAGCCCTTGAGCAGTTAAAACAGGTCCGGGCTACATGTTGGGGTACCACGGCCAGCCAAAGGATCTCCCCCTGACCGGTCGCATCCCCATAGCCCCAAAAATGTGCATCACCTCAGCTCGGAAGGTCGGAAGCTGTTGTGGCTCTGGCATCCATGACGCAAAACCTGACTGAGCTGAGACGCATCTCCATTGGGCGGGGTGCTGGCTTGACACCCCAGATCACATCGGCATACTCCTGACACGGACTGCATGACCGGGGGCATCACACAGCGACTCCAGAGTCCCAGTCCCGCATCGTGCGGTCGGTGGAGAACTTCGCCATGGAGGAGGCTGCCTGCACTGTCCATCCAACCGGTGAAGGATATACAACATTTGAGCGCGTGTGACTTGCGCGATGAGTCCAAGGGCAGCACCTGGATGCTGAGCTTGCACCACTTTGCTTTATCTGCGTAGGTGGCATCAACTCGCTTCTGCGCGTCGACGTAAGAAGGGAAGTCCTTCACGACCAAGTACCTGTCACCTGCAGCATAGTTTAGAGCTCCCTTGCCAAAGGTCCGCGACAAGCGGGAGGCCGAGGACTGCTGCAACTTTCATGAAAAAACTCGTCAAGATCCCAAAGTGCAGGCTATGAATGCGATGTTGGCTTTGGCCCCGAAGGGCCCGGGCCACACTCCTTCCTCTTGCGAGACATCGAAGCAAGCTCTAGCAAATTGAAATCATACTGCAGCCTGACATATCCCAAGGTTGCGGGTTTTTTTGGCGCTGGCCATGCGAAATAGCTGGAACACGAAACGAGACAGCTTCAGTCGGGCAGGAGTTTAACAAGGCAGAAACATACGTCCAAGCAAGGGCTAGCACTCTAAAACCCTACTGCAGCCTAACATATCCCACATTTTGGAACCCTGGGCCGTCCCCGAGGCGGCTCGGGTGCTAGCAGTTAAAGTGGTCCGCCGACCCCGGCTTTCGGGGAGAGAGCGCAAGCGAACACCCAAGTGCCCTCCCAGCCCTCACAACCCAACAGCAAAAAAACAAATCGGCAAAAGCCAACTTGCAGACTGCGCCTTCCCAGGTGCCTGCACCATACGTGTTGCAGAGCTTATCAATCAGCGAGCAGAACTCGCCATGTGCCTCACAGAACAGATACAGTCTCGCAGACAGGTAAGGTCCTAGGGTCCTGAGCATCTTGAGGCCTGCGGCTCCCCCCGGGAGAATTCACCGTTGCGAATTGCCTCCACGAAGTGTGACTTGAGGTCAAGAACATGACCGCTGATGACGCATCTTCTGCCAGGGGTGGGCGAGGGGACCGGCCCAACCTGGAACACTGCTTGCAATCGGCTGTCGATCGGATAGTCTCCATTCTTGGCTTTCGTGGCCACAGCAGCAACCTGAACGTTCCAGCTCATTTACATCATCGTCAGCAGCAGCAGCCCAAAAATAGCAGGGGAGTAAGACCAGGCTTTTGTGTGAGGGCCTCGTGCTCCAAGCAGCCGAAGATAAACATGGTGTCCTCACCTGGCATGTGGGACGCAACGAACCTAGGTTCGCACACAGAATCAGACTGACTCAGGTTCCGACCACACTCCTCACGAATCTCAATGTTTGCACCATCCATCGTGCCGACCTAGGCTACCAGGGCAACTTTGCTTCTGCATCCTCTCGTAACAACCTTCTCTGAGTGGCGCACAATCAGGCCACCATTCATGACAAACTTCATGTTGGAGGTTCCGCTTGCTTCGGTGCCTGTGCTGCACGTGATGGTAGAATGCAGCTGTCTGCTCAATTCGAGCTCGTTTACAACTGGAAGTGGATAGAAGAGCCTGCCGTAGAGATGTGCTCGGAGATGTCCGAAGCTGGGATCAAGACTTCAGCTGCAGACACGCAGTAGTTGGGAACCTCATCAACAACAGCCTGACACCTTGCCGCAGGTCCGCTAAACACATGAGCCCCTGACGAAAGCCAGCTTCAGAAGTTTGCCAGTGTCCGGGTCGTTGTTAATAACCTGTGTGGATCACTGGCTAGGCTATGCAGCACGACATCTGTATAAAGCGTGTCATCACGGCAATAAGCAAAAGCACAAAGAAGTCTCGACGAAGCCTTGCCAACGTTGCCGATTAGCTTGATGATGATCTTTGCGTTCACGTATGCAGATGCTGCCTCCGACATCGCTTCATCTTCCGAATACACATGCAACATGGAAGTCTCCCAATGCCTTGCCACCGATCAACACCACTCGCTTCTGCACCTGCTGTCACAACACTGCATGCCCTGTACAACTAGCTGACCCAGGCAATGCGTGAGAGACAGCCATGTGGCCTTCTCTCGCTCAGCAGGCGACATCCGCTTCAGCTCCTGCATCCAACATGCGATTCGAAGCTAGCAAAAACACATAGCCGTTGCTCCAGAGGTCCTCCTAGCAGTACAAGCCTTTGGGAATACACTTTCTGTAAGGAGATCTTAATCAAGAGACCCCACCTCATACACATGCTGCTACCAGACTGGGTGAAGTCTACAACACACCTTCCGACAAGAGAGGAAGATCCTGACGTCTTTCCGCAATTCCACTCCACCGTGTTCTCTTCCCAAAGTAGTTTCAGGTCAATCTCATGGTGCATTCGAGGAGGCTTTTGCAGCTCGAACATGTCCGATTCATGGGGAAGCGGAAGGGAAGACGCTGGAGCAGCATGAGAAAAAAGGCTGCCTGGTAGCGATGGATGACATAAAGGCAATTGAGAAGTTGGCGCTTGTACTCGTGGATGCGCTTGATTTGAATGTCGATGAGCGCATCCTGGCGGTGTCCGTGCTTGAAGCTGCCTCCATGCACATGCTGCAGTGTCGTTCTCGTGGCGCGAGAACTTTGTCCTGATCGATGTCCAAGTCCATCTTCTCCTGCACAAACCGGCAGTGGCACTCCGTGCATTTGCTGCAACATGCGGTCTCCAAAGACAGCACTCATCTCCTTGACGTAGGCTGCAAGGTTTGCTTTGGCGATCCTTTTCCTGCAATATTGCGGAACCGCCACTGCAATTCTGCAACGAGGCTGCTCCGTTCCCCGTTCCCAGCCGAGGTGACTTCCACTGCCGTTCTTGTATGATGCAGGAACGACACAGGAACAGGCGCGAGGTCAATTCCGAGATGGATCCCGATCTTCAGCCGAGTATCATTTCCATCCACTCCGCATGCAACTTTGCGTCATCCTTGAACTTCAGCATGTCTTTCAGCTTCGTCATGTCTGTCAACCACCTAACGAAACATTGCGATGCTGCTGAAGCCACTAGGCTGATTGGGAGAACCCCTGATCACCGATTTCACTGCCATCTATCGTCAAGCTGCTCGTGGGAGCCAAGATATTTGGTGAAGATCGCACTCAATGGGGGGTTGGCGCAGTGCACCCATCGGCGTGGCGTCACGCCGTTGGTCATGTTCACGATCTTGTCCTCAGCTCGTTGCCCTTTATGGTGGCTGCAACTTCACCTCCTTCCCAACAGAGTCCCTTCCTCACCGTGGCTAGTGCTTTTGCACGATGCCTGCAGCTGACCCACAACTCCCCACAGTCTTCGAATGTTGCTCGCAAACTGCAACACGCTCGTGACCGGCATCCCAAGCAAGCACTGGCTAGCTCATGCGAAGAGGATACGAACTGTGATAGGGCAACAAGGGCAAACTGCATGCCAGCTGTGGCATGCTGCTGTGTTGGTCTGAGGACCGATCTGGCCTACCGGTGTCGCAGCAGTATTTGTAGAACTCGGGGAAGGTCTCCTGGCCATGCAACTACTCATAGCGGCATTGCACTGGTTTGCTGAAAGACCGGAGGGAAGCCTTCTTGATGATCTCCGTGTGAAGCGCGGCCACGCCATTCACCTGTACAACCCCGCACAACGTAAACAAGACGCGATCTTTGGATATCCCACCAGGCAAGTCGCACCTTGTTCGAACCCATGATGGCCAGGTTGCCCATGCGGATTTTCTTGACATCGCCCTCTTCAAAGATGCTCCTCGGCTAGCTGCTTCGAAAATGGCAAACTCAGGCACGGCGAATTTTCATACAGGCTGATTCGCACACTGACGCGGTGGATCCTCGCACGTTCATGCAAGCACCGCATTCCCATACTGGACGGCCGAAAATCCTGAAACCTACAAGCTGCACATCCTGAAAACCCTAAACCCAAGTCTTAAACCTCAAAACCCTTAACCCTGAAATTCCTAACTTCCTAACCTAAAACCCCTAAACCTGCAACTCGGAAATCCTTCAAGCCTTAAACCCTAAACCCCTTGACCCTCAAAGCGCGAAACCCTAAAACCAATCACCTGAAAAACGCAAGAATCCTAAACCCTCTCGAATCGCACAGGCTTAAACTTGAACTTTGCATGCTTGAATCTGAAGTTTTGCCTCCATCACTGGTGCACGTGGCCGAATTGCATGCGATTGCATCATGCATGCTTGCGTCGCACGTGCTTTGATATGTGCCTGAATCCTGCTGCTCGAAGCGCGATGCACCACTCGCGCACAATTTCCGCCCGGCCAGCTACCTGCCCTCAAGCCAGCCAGCCACGCACTCTTGTTACAGTGCCAAGTTGCAGGAATTTCCGCCAACCGGAAAAGAGTGATCAGCTTTGCCACCAAGGCGCAGGGCCTGGATGATGGGCCCGTCACCGTACTTCGCCACCAAGCCATTAATCTCGGCTCAGCGCAGAGGAAAAACTCCGCTTGCCACATCCCGGCATTGTAGTGTTGCACTGATAGTCATCTATGCGTCGGGCCCAGCGGAGGTTCAGCTCCTCAGCACATGTCCAGCCAAAGGGTCGTCCATAGCGTCTAAGAACACAGCCATTCTATGATTCTGAAGCCGCACTTCTCCATCCAAGGCTCGCCAATGATCTGGACATGACGCGGCAGCATGCGAGTCATCATCTCGACAGGCCATTTCTCCAGTGCCTCTCGAAAGCCACAGGTTCTTTGCTTGCTTCCCCATGACTCTGTGCATGCCTCGGGCATCACGGTATGGTTGGTGTAGTTGAGGCCTTGGTGTCCGCCCCATTCCATATACATTCTTGAACGGCTTGAGCTTTGAAACCCTCCTGAAAAGCCGCTAGCCCTCGGCTCCCAAACAATGCATTGCGAGCCACACTTTGTGGTCAGGTCCCATGCTTCATCCCATCCCACACGCATCACGTCAACCAGCAAGCGCATGAACTCCGCCACCTGCGGCCGCGCCACAAAACGCAACGACTAGTCGCACTTATAATACTAGCCAAGCAGCAGCAATGGTCGGGTGTGTGTCGTTCATCTGCACAGCAACCTGGCCAATCAGGGTGAGGACGCATAAAAAACAAACATCACAAGCACAAGAGGAAGACCTTCTCCGGCAGATCCGACCACTTGTAGTTGGGCCTCTTGATGAACTCGCGCAGCAAGTCCTCAAGGGATGTGATTTTTGTTTGGCCAGCCCTTTCGAAGCACATCGGTCCTGCAATGAAGCACTGACGAAGAAGTACCTTCACGGCATATATGTGATCAGAGTGGCGGATGCTTCATAAAGGGGCTGGCCCGGGCGCACTGCTGCCGCAAGCGAAGCTCCCTGCCCTCGTAGGTCGCATCGTTCGGGTACAGGACGGCAGACAAATCCTCACCGAACCGGCCAAGCAAACCCTTGAAAACATGTCTTCTTCGGTCTGCTTTGTCCTCCGCCTTTCTGCGCGACTCCACGGCATCAGTGAAGTTAGCTGCACTGTACTGGTCCAGATCGAACTCCTCTGCCAGAGTCACAGCAGCCAGGTAAATGCCTTATGCACCGGTTAAGATGAGCCGATGCTGGGACGTGCGGTTCCTTGGACGGGCAGGCACGCCACAATCGCAGGTTGTTCGTGTTGTACGTGTCGAACCCCGGAATGGGGTTGTCGTAGGCCATGGCCTACAGATTGGCGTGACTGCCCGCGCTGGGAGATATGTTCAGAGTGCTACAAGAGTCGCATGACTGCCAATGCGGCACAGCCTGAACGATGTCGCCACCCACCCAATTCCTGACAGCACAATTGATGCACGATTGTAAGCTGCATGCCCATACCAAACAAACTATAAAACTAGAGGAAGTCTCAAAAACTGGTCATTGTCTAGGACTTCTTGCCCGGGCTCAAGCACCACTCACCGTTCGCATCAAGGCCCTCCACGACTTCACCGTAAAGCCGAACGGGATAGGTGATATCCTCACTCCACATCTTCACACGAAAAAGAAGTGAAACTCGAGCTTGAGCTTGCTGCCGGACGAGGGATCTCGAATGGGCACCCATCCCCAATCCAGAAGTCCGGCATCTCGACCTGCCAAGTCGAAACACAGCAAGGCTCAAAACAAAGCGACCCAGAGCCTGTCGGCCGTTCTGGATCTCTTGCTTGAACATACCGTAGCTGTAGCCTCGGTGCTTGTCCCTTCACTTGGGCTGGGAAGGGCCCTCGAAATAGACGAGCAGCGAATGCCATAGCCCCAGCAAGGCAGTGACAAAGTTGCCATCGAGTCCTTGCGACACTGAGTCACTTCTTGTATCGATGCTTTCTGCTATGTTGCTGGCAGCAGGACTGCAGCACCACCCCGCTCAGCATCTGACGAGGAAGCACGCGGCAAGACGGCCCAAACCACCATTACCCAGTGCTGGGTCTGCCTCCTCGTGGAAAAGGTCCTGATGTGGACAGCCACGAGCTGCTTGCAAAATGCGGCAGCAGTCAGCACGTCCTCCAGCTGCATGCCGAGTGCGTGAAAGGCTTCCTCGCAGTCATGATGCTGTGCACACCCCCTAAAGATCTCCAAAACACAGATTCATGGGAAATTTGTCCTTGAAGGGCTGCTCCAAGTCGAGGTTCGCAATGGCATTCCTGATTCAGCGTCCCCCTTCCAAGAGCTGCTGGCCACGAACTGGTGGCGATCAAGCCGCTGCATGTGTCGTCCGATCAGATATTCAGCAGACAGGTAGTACCCACGCTTCACATCCATCTTCCTCCCAGGCGCTAAAATGGCACCAACAGAGCAGACGCAACAGACCGACAGAGTCCATGCCTGTAGTACGCATTGGTATCGTTCAGGGACTCCAGGAGTCGGTCTCGGAGCACAAAGCCAGCTGCTCGGTAGGCATCCTGCACACGAAACCCCAGCGCCAAGGGGAAAGGCTACGGGCAGACACCCGTTCTCTAACACAATGTGGCACACACAGAAGCGTCCTGCATGGTGAAGTTGAAGCGAGTGCAAGCCAGCGAATATTCCAAGTGTCTAGCAAAAGATTTCTGGATAGACTCTGGGTCGTTTGGCTCATACGTCTCCTGGCAACCAGAAGCACTGTACTTGCTCTCGCCAAACACCTTCCCAGCACAGTGTGGAGTCCATCAACTTCCAAAGCTTCTCCATCTTTTCCGTCTGTCCGGGATGCTCGTCCTCGGCGTAAGCAGTCCGAGACCCCTCAAGTAATCTCAAGCGGGGCCGACTTAAAGACCCCACAAGAATAGGCCACCAAAATCGCCGAGTCTCTCCGCTGGGCATGGGCCGCTTGGTCTGGTCCAGCAGCGAGAAGGACGATTTTCGCTTCATGTCCTGAGACTGCAGCGATAGGCAAGGCGAGAGACTGTTTGTATCTCTATAGACATCTCTGTGTACATGCGCATGCACACAAACACACATACACCTCTCTAGCATTGGACAAAGCATGGCAAGTCGGACATAAGCGTTCGAAACCTGGCAGCAGACTCTGCAGTCTATGCCTGATAAGGTGCGATGCCATGTTGGTTGGGATCCCAAACGCCGGCAGTGGTCATAGTTATAGTTCCTACAGCTTGCAGCAAAATTGTAGATGAACAAAAACTCAGTCATGACCGGGGATGTGTAATCAAATCCGAGCCTGGAAACGCACGGAAAACAGGCGAGGAAAGTGCACAAAATTTGCTCGAGCAGAGAAGGTTGGCAGACAAGATATGCCAGCACTTGCTGAGCACTACAGGCTGCGATTCGAAGAAACCTCTCAACAGGTTTAGACTTCCCATCCCCTCAGGCACCTGTAGACCTTCTGCCGGTAGGCTCGATGGGTTCGCGACAATGCGGCCATCTCAGCACCATCGCTCCTGAAGCTTCAAGACGCAAGCCACTTAAACGCCGAAACACAGACAGAAATTATCTCTCTGAAATCTGTCGCACTTGGTGGCCTTGCGCTTTGTGCCTTTGCCCCTGAAACGTTACACCCCAATCAGGCGCACGAGGTTCACAAACCTCGGAAGGGCCATCAATTGAGATCCGAACGGTGCTTTGCTGCTCTCCTCTGGCACGACATTTGCAGGAAATTTGTGGAGAAAACTATCATAGGTCAGAGTTGTCGATGCAGCTTCGGCCTGGAAGCAGTACCGCCAGCGCAAGAAAGCTTCAGACCTGACCGCATTGCGATAGGTCGGACTCGGAATGCGAAGGAGGTTCAGTCCGAGCTGCTGCAACTCACGTCGTTTGCACTGAATTTGTGCCTCTGCAACTCTGCCAGCTCTGAGCACCTTCGTTAGAGCTTGGTGACTTCACATGCTGACAGCCATGCAATCGCTAGGCATGCCACAAGACGAGTCTTGCGACTCTGAAACCTTAAATCACGGGCAACAAAGTTGCGTGGCACCACGTGCGAGCAGGAACGGGGCCCCTGCTTTTGCATGCGTATACGCAAATGTTCCTCTGCACCTGTCTGTACGGCCAGGAAGAGCTTGCTGCGCGAAAGGCCAAGGAAATCCGAACATGTCATAAGACATGAGATCCAGACATGAATGCTTAGCCTGGCGCGTGCTTGTCGAAAACCAGACACCATGTGCGCCCACAATAACTCGGATCCACGATCGGGAAGCCAAATCTTCCACACAGACACAACACACGAGATGCTTGAACAAACAGAGGCCTAGGCAAATGCTACAGCACGAAGATGTGCATCATGTTGGAGACCACGGCGAAACGCAGCAGCCATCCATGTCCAATCGCTGCAAAGTTGAGCAGCTGTCCATGTGAGAATGGCGTCGATCTCTGCATATCGCACACTACAGCGAGTCGTGCTTTCGTGTTTCGATGTTTTGTACAGCCATGTCATGCCAATCCCGAGGCAAAAAAAGCGTATCTGTTGCATTGCTGCTCGTGCATACAGGATTACTCCAATGTCTCTTGTCTGTCTTCACATGCAGTGTCCTCACGGTGTGGTCTCCCTGTCGCTCAGATACTCAAGCATTCCAATTCTATACATGTGTCACAGCCTGGACGGCTGCGTGCAAATGCTCGAAAAGCCAACAACCACTGATCATCGTCACGAGACTGTAAATCGCAAGTCCCTTGTGTACGGCTGCAGGCAGATCCTGGCTGTGACCTTGGATCTTGCAACAAATGGGTTCCTAAATCCCTGGCAAGTTCCCGAGACTCCAAAACCTTGTTCACGGCTGTCACCTGTTGAAGTTCTACCGGGGGCAAGAGCTGAAAGCTTCCACCTCAACGTCTGAAAAGGGGCCAATGCTGTTGTCAAGGCCGCATGGTTGGCCTGCCTTTTTCCTGGCGTGTAGCGGCCCGTCATTCTCGTACGCTCCTACGGCGGCCTAAGAGGGGCGAGTCACATCCAAGTGTCGCACCTGGGCTTCGGCAAGAGGGAACGATCTGGTCAGGTAGCATTCGCAGTGGTGTGGCTTTTGCAGCAGAAGCAGAAACAGTGAAAAGACCGAAGCAGCAAACTAGCTTCCGAGACAATAGGTGCGGCGATCCTTCTTTCTGTCGTCGTAGCAGTAGCAGCAGCAGGAGGGGGCGTGGAAGCAGCAGCAACAGTACGAAGAACAACAGCAGCAGACGCAGCGTGGTAGTCGAGTAGCTGCGGTAGCCGTACTGCCACTTCTTGCCAGCTACGTTTTTCCAACATCTTATTGCACCAAGGCTTCTGCTTGGGAGTGGTGCTTCTTCAAAACTTCGTGTGGAAAAGATGACAAAAGTCGAAGCCTGGACCACCCTGTTTCCGGGAGCGGAGCCAGTCAGCTGTTCAGCTCAAGCATATCCAGCCGTGGCAGGCTCAACTTCATGCACCTCTCCAGGGCGCCAGGTCTGATCGAACCAAGCCTGACCGGGTCCGTAGAGGCGGAGGCAGCCCCACCACATCTTTCCGGCCACCGTTTGAATCCAGTTCCCTTCGCATCCCGCTGGCGCAGAAGGTGCAAACCAGATCGTCGTGGAGCCATCCGGGTTCTGCTTCATGTCGGTGTGGCTTTTAGAGTTTCGGCAGGGGAAGAGCTGACTGGTCTTTAACATGGAACGCGTCTGCGTGTCGTAGACGACCACGGACCAGAAGTCCTTAACGGGCACGTTGGGCGGCAGCTTTAGGCTGTAGACCTTCGCTCCGTCCAAATATCGGTGCTTGGCATCCTTGCAGACCAACGCATATTGCGACCCGCGATCCACCATCTTCATGACCATTGCCGGGGTGTTGCCTGTCGCGAAATAAAAGAAGCGCGTCCTCGCATCTGCATTCCGGCCCCCAGCTCCATCCTCCACCAGCCAGCGGTAGTCGCCCCCATCGAAAGCCGTCACCCACTCGCTGCTTTCATCATAGATCCGAGCAGTTTTTGAACGAGGAGCGAAGGACAGAGCACGGGAGGTTGCGTTGCCAATCGCGGCCGCTTCTGTGAGCAAGGATTTCATCCGTTGGTCCGGCTTGAAAGGCCTCCCTTTCATAATGCCGATGGCCGTGAGGTTTCCACGGAGCTCTGGATCCAGGAAGTCTACCGGCTCGTACTGAATCACAGTGTTCAGCTCCTCGTAAAACTCAAAGTCGTTCGAGTGGATCGTGTTGAAAATCTTGCCTGTGCTGTTGAACACCTCGGTCTTTGGAGGGCTGCTGGCTTTGGACAGAGGATACACCTTTAACCCCTCGCGCCACATCTGAGCAGCATGGTCAGGCTTGCCATCCTTTAGAAAGCCTCTGAGCGCAATCCAGTTCGTGAAGGAAGTCGATTTCGCGACGAAGTAGCCCTCCGGGACTGCGCCGTCATAGCCCGGTGGCAGGTAGAGATACTTCCCCCCTGCACCTCGATCGGGCCCTGGAGCACCCATGTCGCCGACATAGCGAAAAAAGGCGTCGTTGACCAGGCCAGGACCTGCTCCGGCTGGAACCTCGATGACGGTCGGCCCGTCGCGATTGAGATCCATGAGTCCCATGGCATAAACTGTGTCCGTGTTGCCGGTAAGAAACAAAGATCGACAGTCCATGAGGCCTTCCATAAGCAAAATCTTGTGGCAGGCATCTACTCCAACTTTCACCATGTTGTTCCGCATTGCTTCCAGTGAGGCCATGGGCACTCCATCCAGGAAAGCACTAACGCCCCTCGACCGATCCAGGTTGTCATAAACCTTTTGGACAGTTGCGTCGTCCGGAAGGCCGTCCGCAAAGGTCAGCTTGCCAAGGCAAGTATCGTACTCATCCTTGGTCGTGATCGACTCGGGCACCGCTCCTAGATCTGGCACGCTCATGTTGGATGCGGGTACACGGTGCTGCTTGAGAACTGGCTGAAGCGCAAAGACACAGAACGCCTCTGGCAGCCATGGGCTCGAAGTTGTCAAGGAGAGAGAACGTGACAGACTGAAGGCAGTGCTTGAGATGCCGACACAGAGCCTAATATCTTGGTGCCAAGGCACGCTCCAAAGGTTCGTTTCATCCGCGGCCTGCCGAGACATTGCACGGCTTTGGATTCGAGGGATGATTCGGAGGATACACGTGCGTTCAATAAGACTTGGTGAAGCCGTTGTGGACTTCAGGTAGGTCCAGGCTGATGGTTCGGCCTGGGGGAGTCCGTGGGTCATGTTCACGGGTTTTACAAACGACCCCGTGAAAGGAACGCGCCTCTCTCCTGCAAAACCTCAGTGCTGTAGCAAACCGTTTTCGCATGAAGAGCAGGACTTGTGCTACACTTGGCGTTGACCAGCGGCAATCGGACTGCTTGAACTTGTCTCTATGTGTATAATCATACTCGCTTGAACATTTCAGCCACTGAAGGACTCAAGCCCGCAATGCACTGGATGACATACTGCTCAATGAAACGCGGCTTCATCAAGAAAATAAACTCATCGAATGAACTACAGCTCAAATCTTTCAGCCCGAATCACTGCACATCGTCAAACTTATGAAGATCCTGTGCATGGGAAAATGCCGAAGCTCAAACCCTGGAATCCCGAAAACTGTGCACTTCCACGTAGAAGCCATCGGAGCCTCAAGAATCAGTAGTCCTATCCTTGCGCAAGTATTGCCCAACTAAGTTCTCTAGGCTCTCGCACATCAAGCGTATATCACATGTGTAAACTTTTGTGAGAACCTGAAGGAATCTTTCAATGGAACCTTACCAACGAACAATAAATAAGGCCTTGTACCGTACAAACCCCCTAAAACACTGACAGAACATGGTTCCACGCTTTCGTTCCCTCCGTGGCTAGTTCGGCCTCTCTCTGACTCCACGGCCATAGGCACGGCTGTTGTCGGCCGAAAGGTTTACCGCCTAAAGCTTCATGCAAGGTGCGATGGAGCGATTGAACTGAACATGATGGAGGCCCTCCGTCACTAGGCTCGTGGAAACGCCTGATGCAGTAACAAGCTTGCTGAAGCCGGGTCTGAGCGCTGTTCACACTTTAGGGTTTAGGGTTTAGGGTTTATGGTTTAGGGTTCACCATTATAATTTCCTATCGAATTCTGACAGACCACGAAACACAAGACCTTGAATTGAACAGTTCGGGCCCAGCTTCCGTTTCCTACCGGGTTCGAGAGGTTCCCAAGTACGCAAGCAAGCGGTTTCCATAAGCGGAGAACCGAAGCAAAATTCGAAAAGTCGAGAAGTCAAAAAGTCGAAAAGTTTATGACCTTTCAACGTTTATTGCGCTTTTCTGGCTTTTTGGGCTTTTCGGTTTTTCCACTTTTCGACTTTTCTGGTTCTCTTGCAACTTGCGGACTTTTCGGCTTTTCGATTTTTCGTTTTTCTCGAGAACAAGCCTTAAAGGCTCGGCGTGACGCTGCACAACCCGCTACGGCACTACGTGCATTCTCTACAAACTACAAACTACTTCTGAGTGTCCCGCCACGAGTGGCTGAGCAGATACTTGCACACGCCCCCGTCACGTTCTGCCCCTGTAAAAAGTGTTGCACCCGCATCTAACAACCAAAATCCTAAACCCTAAACCCGAGAAAGGAAAATAGGAAGAAGATGCACAAAGGGATCTTTTCCGTGGATGCGAACTGGGCACGAGCCAGTCTCCGATAACAGCAACAGGTATCGCCTGAAGCATGCCACCGAGTGGGGTGGCGACTTGTGCACCACCCCGGAAGAGCAAAAAGAGTAGAGCCTCGAAAGAGGTACCACTCGGACCTAAGCCTAAGCAAGACACCACACGACAGTGCCATCTACGAGCTCAGAAGAGCTGTCTGCGAAAACTACGGAACTAACGGTACCAGCAAAGTACCAACTACGGGCTCGGAGAGCCAGCTGCAAGCTACGGCAGGAAAAGAGAAGAGCATTTGTGCAGAAGCAAAGGCAAGGCTGTGCGGGCAGCCGCCAGGAGGATGAGCCCGATTGCAGGTTGCAAGGGCACATGAGGACACCCAGCAAGCAAAGACGCTGCGAGTAACGCGCGAGCACTGCATGACCGAGCGTTTGCATGTATGCCCAAGCAAGTGGAACGCCGCGAAGAATCGCACGAGCGGTGAGAGCTGACCCAGGGCGGGTAGGGCGGGAAATTTCGAGCGAAGACAGCTCGAACCGATATTGCAACTGCGATGCAAACG